GAAAAAAGAAAAAAAAACCTAAAGGGGGGGGGGGGGTGTCTGACCCTGACTTTCCTATCCCCAACTGGAAACAAAAAAACTTGGCTATAGATACTCTTTAAGCTGATGGCATGAAGCTGATTTTTCATGGGATCTGCCATAGTTGCAACAAAAAACACTTAAAGGCTGCATTCCGATAGACATTCACCCACATGTCAGGTGATGAGGCAGATTACACAGCTTCTGTGAGCACTAGTCATGCCTGTATGGAATGCTTGTATTTGTGGTCCTGTTATTTAGCAGCACATCACGCTGTAACATGCTTGCAGCAACATTGGTTAAGATCTTAAGATCATATTAATGGTTTGTTTTTGCACAAAGACACTGAAGCAATAAACATACCTTGCCATAAGCAGTTTTAAATGCTGCCTTAATTTTCTGTCTCTGGTCATTAGAGCGATTCGCAACAACATCAACTATTGTTTTTTCATCAGTTCCTGTAAAAAGAAAAAAAAAAAAAAAAAAAAGGTCAAGAAAAGCATTCAAACTTGGCAGAGGAAACAGAACAAGAGTAACTGCATCCAACACAAACATGTTATAGGTGCAGACTATGGCCTCTGGGTTTTTAGGTCTTAAAGATCAATTAAAGCTTTGTTAAACTACTGGAATTCAGTCCGGTTATATAAACCGTAACAACAAAAGGGGCTTCTATTTTTTTTGTTTTTAAAAAGAGACCTCGTTGCCCCAGACCATGCAACAAAAATCGCCTCATAATATTATATGTGCATCTAACATTTTATTCACTTGTAAAACCCGCCCTTGTGCAGACAGCCAAAAGTCCTGAGACTGCTGCTGGGCTCCACATATTGGGCATGATGTCAACAAACTCAGTGCGGTCACTCAAGTGACACTCTATAGTATCCCCCTTCACGTCTGCCCCAGCAGCTACATAAAAGGTTATGTAGGGAGGTGAGGAGAGGGGCAGATAAGACCGCACATAATAATTAGACACTATCATAAGGTGTGAGCGCTATGACATGCACAAAGGGAGGGGCCTGTGCCAGGAAATAGACTGTTTTTCTAGCAAGTTCAAAAGGCACAAAGCAAGTCAAATCAAAAATCATTTGCGAAAAGAAAACAAAAAACACAAACATTTGAAATACTTTATTCTCCTGTGCTTTTACCTGTCATTTTTGAAGTTGGTGACAGGATCTCCTTAACAGTAAGTGTTAATATCAGGGCTAGAGGAATTCCAGGAGCCAGGTAGCCAAAGTATTAAAATTAAAGTTAAAAGGTTTTTAAACCATTTCAAATGCTAATTAATTCACTTACAATGGATGCTGCTTCTTACTGTTTAGGATTCCTGCAGAATCAGGTGGTCTCCTGAGCACTGGCCCCGATATCCTGTTTTAGGGTGACTCCTTTCTCTTGCAGGGTAATATGGAACCACCTTTGCGTGTGCTAGTAAGCTGTACACACACACACGCACACACCTAATGATTCCCCTGCTCCCTGCCCATTCTTCCTACTCCCAGCTAGTAGAGGACGGCAAAGTCTCCAGCCGCTGTCAGGCATCTTGTACTGGACAAGAAGTTCAGATAAGCCGAGCTGAGAGAGTTGGAGCTGTTAAGAAACGTGATGCCTGTAATTGCTTGGGCAAATATTTAAATAAATATTTTGCTGGACAATGTATATTTGTTTGATCTGGATTCATTATTGAAAAAGTTTAGAAGTTTAATACTACCTAAAAATGACAGCTGGCACCGAACGTCTGAGGTTTTCTCTGGTTATCAATGGAGCTGGCTCCGGAAAAAAACCTGCTGGCACCAGGATTGGATAGACTGGCTCCTGAATTGCATCTCATTTTGTCCACCCCTGATTAAAATACCTTTCATGCAAGCAGCATGGTAGAGAGTGAGACACGGGGTGCAAAGTTTCAGGTCTCCAGTGGGGGACATGACCACTGCGCTCTGTGTTGGGGAGCAGACCCCACTCTCTAGCACACTGCATTACAATAATACATTAACAAAGCTTCAAATGGGCTTTAAATACTGGAACAGTGAGCTCTCCCTTCCTTGTTCTCAACTCTGTTCCTGTTCTGGGAGTTTTAGGTTTCCCCACCATACTCTGCATCCGGATAGAAAATACAAATCTACCAGAGAGGTGAAATATTAAAAAAACTAAAACATACCAAACCCCTTCATGGCTTTCCTCAGCTTTTCCGCATCTGCCAATGCATCGAAGTTTGCTGCAGGCCTGATGGTGCCCTGAGTCGCAGCCATGGCTGCTGCAAACGGCTGCAAAACAATTAACATCAATTAATATCCCTTACAAGAATAAAGAGAAGTCAGACTGACATTTACTATAAAAAGGGTGAAATGAGAACATTTCTGTACAGTTTTATGCTCTATAATAATTTCAGACATAGAGCATGTTAAAGAAATGCAAGAAGGGAAGTCCCACGCTGAGAACTCACATATACACAGCAAGCAGGTTGTCACACTTCTCAGTACGGATCTCTTAGGGCTATTCTTCACAATACTCTATTCTGTATACTCGTCAGTTACTTTGACACAAGATATAAAAAAAGTAATTGTGCGGTGCTATTACCCCAAACACATCACTTGATTAAGAAAAGAAATGGGCCTGGGTTACTGTGAATTCTAGTCTGCCTTGTAGGTCTTGCTATAAATGACTAGGAACTCTGCCAAGCAGGAAGCACACAGCAATTGTGCAATCACTCAGCTCTGCTGTGTTTATTCCACTCTCTGGATACTCCCCATACTAGAACTGCTCTCCTATACTGAGGAAAGCAGAACACTACCTCTTATTTGCATTTATTTTAAGGGGTCGGTCTTCAAAAGGCCTTTTTTGCTTTAACAAAGACTAGCATAAAATCTGAACTTCAGAGAGAGAGATCTATAAATAAAATGTTGTGGAATCAGTTGTATTGTAACTCCCTATCCAGTAAGTAAAACTCTAACTGGAAGTGGGAGAACCGGCACGAAAAGCCAATCAGGTATGTTGCATGCACATGTGTTGCCAAGTACCATGCTGGCAGCAGGACAGAGTAGAGGAATCAAATCCCTGGTCTGTATCTGCCCCGTATTTATTCCATTACAGGCAGGGGAGGATGGGTGACCAGGCTGTCATTTTAACTGCCGTAGAGAAATGTTTGGTCAGCAATTTTGCTCTGCTGTCTGTAGGGTTGTAGAAATATTATGAAAGATGGACACAAACCACTTAGTAGAAAAACTGCTGCCTCCACCGCTCCAAGCTTGCTGCAATCTCAATACAAACTAGAAGTCTCATCACTGGAGCCATTTTTTAAAATGTATTTTTTATCCGATTAACCGATTAATCGAACTTAATAATCGGCTAACTAATCGATTTTGAAAATAATCGTTAGCTGCAGCTCTACATATATGCAATTCAAGTATTTAGTGGTCTGCTGGGAGTTCAACTTTAAATAGATCTCCACAAAACAGCAGGCAACCCATCCTCTACATAGGACGTGTTCCTCAGCCTTTTCACATCCAGTTATTTTAGTTTTGGATGGAGTAAAAGTGTGAAAACTCCAGTCATGTTTTATTTCTGTCCTTGCCTCCGCTAGGTAGATTTACCTTCTCTTCTTCCCGGCGTGTAATGACCAGGCGGCGTGTAATGACCAGCTTCCCGGCTTGCCGATTAGCAGGGAAGCAGTCTTCATGCACCCTCTTCACCAGGTGACTAGGGAGCATGGAGCCAGCTTTGTGGCCAATCAGGAAGCTGGGGGGGCGGGTAATGAGTCGCCACCAAGCTTCCCGATTGGCCCGGGAAGCAGGTTCCATGCTCCCTCATCACAAAATGATGCGAGAGCATGGAGCCAGCTTCCAAGCCAATCAGGAAGCCGGGCAGCATGCAATAACTTGCCGCCCAGCTTACAGATATCGGAAGTTCCGGGATCGGGATAGGCATCAGAAGCATTTCGGCGAGTACTCGCCCAAATACTCAGTATCTGTGCATCCCTACTATTTGTTACTGGTGACCACGGTCAATGGGACAGAAAGGCATCGCAAACCAATATGTCACAATTTTAGTCTTGTCACCAAGACTAGAACATAAGACTAGACCAAGACTAGAACAGAGAACATAACCCAATGGGGATGTCTATTCCGGTGACAACTATACAACATGGGCCGTTTGCCATCTTGTCCTGAGCATCTAATGGCAGGACATGAAGGGAAATCTCCAAAACGGGACGAATCTATTTCAGAATAATGATGAAGGGAAAGTAGGGTCCTACAGTGTCCGACAACCAGCAAATAATACTCCATGGAACGACAATGATGACGGACCTTCTTATATGCAATTACCCTGTAGGTGTTGATGGATCATCGGTTAAGCTACCTCAATAAAAATAAAAACACACCACACGCACATCAAATCTAACGGAAATGAGATGTTTATCAGCGAGGTCCGCTGTACATGCATAGAGTGATATCTGATCAGCTTTGTAGTAAACTTTAGAGAACACCGCACACGCTCATGCAGTCACCTTGCTCCGACAAGCTTCATACAGGATAAAACGGAATAAAAAGCATCACAGTGTATTCACGCAATAAAAAACAGAATTAAGAGCAGCAAAGATCGTATTCAAATATAATCAGTATACACAGCTATCTGGTATGGACTATAGACTCGTATCACATAAAGTAAGTGTTCAGTAAGCACATTACAATCAGTAACTTCAAATGACGTCTTTACTATCCTGGGTAGCAAAATAAAACGGTGCGTAATAGCGAAGCAAAGCTCCAGGCAAAAATAACTTGGATACATAAAATACTCCCCAGTTCAAAATTCATTCCACAGTTTCTGTTTAAATATAACCGGTGTGATTACCTGAAAACGTCTTCACACCCCTAGCACCAGAAGTTGGCCTAATCCTTAAAGGAAACCAAACATGCAAAAATACTTACCTAGTCTAGCACCTTCCACACATATTGTAGCAGACACCTCAAGAGCTTTTCACTTCAAGCGCCTTGGCTGACCAGAAAGCCCCGTTAGTTTGACAGAGAAGATACTTCCTGGGACACTGTACCCACAGCCTGACTCTGCCATCTCTTGAGGCTCACTGATGGCCAGTTAGGTCACCCATGACAGAACAGTGCCAATGTGAGACCGAAAAACACCCGCTTCTAACCTCTAGCATACTGGGAAAGGAGGAGGAGGGCAGCACTGTAATCCATTCCAAGTCTGCTTCATTACTCGGTGATGTGCCAAGAGGTGTGTTGCTGCTGCCCCATTCCGTCACAGACAAATCACGCATTAGACCATTGTCTACCTACATTGTAGCCCGCAGAGAGGTCTATGGGAGTGCAGTAGCTCTGCTATATATCAAGGTGCCTGAATCGCAAGACTGGATTAACAGAACTACAAATCTCTGGGCATGCACCACCGTTCAAGTATACTAAGCATTTAGCCATTTAGCATTTTGCCTGGAGTTCCACTTTATTTAACTTGTTATAGAATAAAAGAAAAACCATGCAATATTTGGCACGTGTTAATAGCACAGAGCAGTTATCAGTGCATAGACATACCTCATAGTGCACACTGACCTACAAGATAATCAATCACATTTTTGTAAAGAGAAAGGGCAAAATACAATAGATTAAACCATATATTTATATGACCCTTGTTACAGTTTAAATACAGAGATATATCGTTTTGACACAATCTAATAATGTCTATAGGTCTCAGTCATTCCCCAATCTCTCCACGAGTGGAATCAGAGGCTCACATGAGCAATACTGATCTCTACCATGGCTATGTAAGAAAGAAAAGCAAAACAAAATCTGCTTTTTGGAACTGGTTTACCAAAACACTATTTTGAGGATCTACATAAACTACTCAATCAATCTGTATCCAAATCAGACAAGCCCTAGAACGACATAAATGTTGGTAGATCTATAGAAGATTCTAACACATGTGGTAAGCGCTACACCAGGGGTGCTCATTAGGTCAATCGCAAAAGCAAAAACTGGTAGATCGCGATCAACTCACTGAGCTGTGTCCTGTCCTCCCGCTGTGTTCGTGCGGCTGAATGCGTCAGCCTAAGCAGATGGGAAGGGGCGGGACACCACTCCCCGTGTGCAACGTCAGCCACACGAGCACCGCAGGAGGACAGAATGCCGGAGCACGAGAGGAGACCCGGGAAGCTGCTGCAGTGGAGGTAAGAAAAGAAAGAGGAGAGAGACAGCAGAGAAAGTGAGAGAAGAGAGACAGCAGAGAAAGTGAGAGAAGAGAGACAGCAGAGAAAGTGAGAGAAGAGAGACAGCAGAGAAAGTGAGAGAAGAGAGACAGCAGAGAAAGTGAGAGAAGAGAGACAGCAGAGAAAGTGAGAGAAGAGAGACAGCAGAGAAAGTGAGAGAAGAGAGACAGCAGAGAAAGTGAGAGAAGAGAGACAGCAGAGAAAGTGAGAGAAGAGAGACAGCAGAGAAAGTGAGAGAAGAGAGACAGCAGAGAAAGTGAGAGAAGAGAGACAGCAGAGAAAGTGAGAGAAGAGAGACAGCAGAGAAAGTGAGAGAAGAGAGACAGCAGAGAAAGTGAGAGAAGAGAGACAGCAGAGAAAGTGAGAGAAGAGAGACAGCAGAGAAAGTGAGAGAAGAGAGACAGCAGAGAAAGTGAGAGAAGAGACAGCAGACAGAAACAGGGGAGAGAGCGAGGAGAGAGAGAGAAGAGACAGCCAATAGAGGGCCAGTTCACACCACAAATTCTGCTTTCCAGAGTGTTCGGTCTCTAGAACACACTGGAATGTAAGCCGGCTTCCCTGCGTTCAGGGGCAGGAGGTGCCCCTGAACGCAGGTGGAAGTGCGATCACCCGCATTAGTGCCTGTGTTCCAGTACAGTGCGATCTGCAAAAATATTCCTCTGCAGCATTTTTGCAGATCGCACTGGACGCAGGCGATAATGTGCCTGCGTTTCGGGTGTGGGGGCGATTGCGCTGCGGGTGTAGGGCGTGGCGGCCACCGATTTCAATGCACCGCCAAGTCCCCTCTCACCCCTGAATGCAGGCGTTTCAGTGGTAGATCTCATGGAGTTCGTCATTTGAAAAGTAGATCTCCAGACGAAAAATTGTGGGCACCCCTGCTTTACACCATGCTGCCAAGGACAGACAGACACCTTTGCAGAGACAAGACAGTAAAGGTACTTACTGCAGGCTGCTGCCCTGGTGCGGGTCCTGCTGGATATCCACCTGATCAGGCAATAAAAGGTAATGAAAATTAGGATAAAATAGACACAGTGAAAGATGTAAATCTGTAACTGGCTGTTCTTTCCCAGTAAAAGCCAGTATCCATCACTCAAGCTGGAGAGATGATTGGTTAAGTATACAGAGGCGGCTAATCAAAACTCCTGTAAATAACCAATGTTCCAGAAAAGGAATACGGCATAAAAACATCGATCAATAAAGCTTTCTTTCATTCACCCGCAGGCACTATGCATGCTGATGAACTAAATTATTCAATATGTAGAGCTGAGAGAACATAGTAGAGTGCTTTGGGCATACAAAGGTTTCAAATGCTCAGTTACAGAGTAAGGTGTTATGGGAAACATTACAAAGTCCTAATTCTGAGAAAGAAATGAAAAATATTACGAGTATCATACAATCATTACAAACCTCAAATACAGTCACCGCTTGCTGCAAGCACCAAACAATTGTTATGTTTATACATCAGCATGCCACAAGGCCATTTCCTCTATATTATTTCGCATGCAGAGGAACTTCAATTCTTTTGCCACTATCTTAAAAAAAAAAAAAAATCTCCAATGGGTAAACATGGACCCACTGCATTCTTTGGCGGTTGCAAAACAGGGGGTCTTTAGCTACAGCAGAAGATCTTAAAAGGGGATTACAAAACACAAAGTGGAATTACCAAAGTCTAGGCGCATCGGTCATACATCCTTTTTCTACTGCTACTGTCTGTCATATTTGATATACAAATCTCCTTACCTGGCATTTGACCTGGTGCTTGACCTGGTGCTCCTCCCCCATAGGTCTGAACAGAAGGCTGCTGGTATCCTCCATATCCAGGAGCCCCTCCAGGTGGTGCACCATACCCACCCGCTGCAGGAGCACCACCTGGTGGAACATTGTATCCTCCAGCCCCATATTGTCCTCCTGCTGGAGCTCCAAATCCACCGGATGGGGCACCAAAACCAGCTCCACCATAGCCAGGAGCTCCACCTGGTGCTCCATAACCCGGGGCACCAGGAGGAGCGCCATATCCTGCACCTTGACCCGGTGCTCCATATCCTTGGAGCTCCACCTGGTGCTCCATAACCCGGGGCACCAGGAGGAGCGCCATATCCTGCACCTTGACCCGGTGCTCCATATCCTGCACCTTGACCCGGTGCTCCATATCCTGCACCTTGACCCGGAGCTCCATATCCAGGGGCTAAAGGGGGAGAGTAGAGAAATCTGGTTAAATATCATATGGAAAATAGGAAAGGACACAATTCCACATCTGAAAAGTAGAATTAGTATCTGCACAAGTCATTATAGCTATAATTGGGTTACACTAATGGAGTGAGTAAAATGTACATATACTAAGGCACGTAAAACTGGGCACATAATTATATATATATACACACACACACACAAAAAAAGGGAGGTTCCCTTCAGCGAAAACCACATGCCAAACAGCAATTCCAGAAAAGAGGCAGCCAAAATCCTATTCAAACCTTTCCAGAGTTGAGGACACACCTCTACTATCTCGGGATACACAAAATCCCTCCGGTCTCCGTACTGATCAATAGGACTAAAGAATGAAAAATCGGAAGGCTCAGGACACAGAAGGAAGTAATCTATCTCTGGATCTACTGATCATTTGGTCATGCAGTTGTCAATGAAGGGAACCCTCCGCAGATTTATGTCATCTTCTGCACAGTTCAAATTGCCCAGGCTTGCGACAGGTTCACTTGAAGTAGGTTCCAAATACCATTCACATTCCTATGGTCTTACAGCATAAAAAAGGACCTGTGGTGCTCAAGGTGTCCGCATGGATGGCGCAGTGCACACACTAACCGTAAATACAAAGGTATCACCGGCACACACTTGGAAATTCAAATCCCAATAATCCATTGATAGATTTTATTTTGTGAAGAATGTCACATCATGTCATGCAGTGCTAACATTTCAGGTCCACCCAGGGATCCTTCATCAGAGCCACATAGGATCCCTGTGTAGACCCGAAATGTTAGCACTGCATGACGTGATGTGACATTCTTCACAAAATACAATCTATCAATGGATTATTGAGATTTGGATTTCCAAGTGTGTGCCGGTGATACCTTTGCATTTACTGTTAGGTTGACTTGAAGTTCATGTTTGCAAGGCACTTTAAAATCTAAGCACTGCTTTGTTATACTATATATACTACTATATGTAGATCAGAAGGGGGGGGGGGGGGAACCCTACAAAACTATCAAAACATACCTTGAGGATATGAAGGCATCCCACCAGGATAGCCACCAGCAGCAGGGTATCCTCCAGGTGGTGGGTATCCACCTCCAGCTGCTGGTGGGTATGCACCTCCACCAGCAGGTGGATATTGCCCACCAGGGTACGCTTGCTGGCCGCCAGGAGTATATGCTGGATCACCTGCCTAAAAAACAGATCATGTCAGTCTTACTAGAAGCCAGACCATACAGCCAATTCATCAGCAAGAGGGGAATGACACAAACCACAAACATTCCAATACAAATAACCTAGAAATGATCCAGTCTGTCTATACAAAATGGGTCTTTCAGTGACAAATGGATTTGCGTAGGCAATCTAATTTCAGCCTGGTGTCTAGGTTCTGTAGAACGTGTACATGTTACCCACTTCTGTCCCCAGTTACACAAGTCCTGTGCTGAGGAACAGCTGTCCAAGCTTTAGCAAATGTCATAGCAGACACATAGTTGGCTCAAACCCAGTTGAAGTGGACCCATAAGAGCACACTGTACTTTCACATAACAGCAGGTCACAGCACAATCTCTTGGAGATGCCCAGTGAGGATTTAAAAACCTAACTATAGAAATCTTTGTAAAGTCCTGTAGCATAGCACCTGCGTGATAAAACTGTAATGACAGAAGCCATTCCCTGACTCATGCTGTATACTGGTTCTGGGGTAGGGAGGTTAAACTTTCCACTGTCCCAAGAACTAGTATGCAGTATATGAGTCAGAGAATGGCCGCCTTCATCACAGCCTCATCAGAGCTTCATGCATCAGGTTCATAATTGACAATCTGTGTCCATTCCCCTTTTAACTAATCAGCATTTCCATTCCCGTTGCTAGGACAGGATAAGAATTATTGGTTGCTAGGAGGGAAAATACACAGACTGTTGATCAGTTGATGCTTTAAACTAAGGCCTAACAGTCTGATTGTTAAATGCGAAACTACAACCCCCCTATCCATGACAGCCAAGGAAGGTGCCATAATAGCCTCTATTTGGATTGCGGTTGCCATGGTGCTGCACATGTGATCAGCTATGACACCAGCCACTTGAGGGCTTGAAAGTTCGGTTGAGAGCTGAAATGAGCACGCTGGCATCCTTGACAGTTGGTGTGCCTTAAAAATAAACGTTTCGTGAACATGAAATTGGTGGATAAAGGTACTCTTATTATAAGTCTTGGCTGAAACAAAGTGTCCCAGTGCAGTCAATATTGTGTCTACACCAAGAACAGGAATATTTTAGCCCTGGAAACAAACTTTCCTGTAATGGAAAGCAATCACTGCCACAGACTGTCTATATGCTGGGTGATGAGTCTAGGCAACCATGACTTGTGTGAAGGTTCCCAACAGGAATACATTGCTGGTCTCTGCCTGGTACACTTCTCTGATTGGCAGGCCTCCGTCTTGAGTTGTCTAGTGTGTCCACCAAGCAGACCACTAGAACCACTCCAAAGAACCATCCCTTATGAGTTTTTTATTTTATTAATCTCTCCTGGAACTGAGGCTGTGCCAACAGGGGGTAACAGAGGGTAAGATTGCATGGCTAAACATACCACACGGGAAGGGGGCAGAGGGAGTGTATGCATTTATTTGCTGGGAGTTCAGCTTTAACTTGACCAGGGAAGAGTATTTCACTTATCGGTGCCTGTTTTATCACATTTTTAAAGCCATCTACAACTGGCAGTCGTTGAACTCATTTCCTGTTCGCTTTACTAGTCTCAATAATGCACTGAAATAAATCACAGGAATGAGCAGAAGAGGGACTGAAAGACCATGGTCTCAGAGATTCAAGTCAGCTACAAGTTACTCTAAGGGTAAGGCCATTCTACATACAGCCCTTCTCATTCTGTGAGAAATACCTTCCCCAGCGTCACAAAGACTTTGTTGTTCTATCTCTCTCTCTCATTCAAAAGAAGATGCTAGAAGTACAACACATAACTTGACCTTTTCTCATCACTTTGTATACAAAACAGAAATGTATTTATTTATTTTTAATAAAATGTTCCACTACTTTAAATCAGTCAATCTGTTTCCCAATGGTAGAAATGATACAGTGCTTGTTTCTATATACTTATATTAGCGTCTGCAAATGATGCAATAACTACAGAGAAAGCAATAGGTCTGTAGTTCATAGCGCTAGAAGCAATAGCAAACACATTTGGAAGACTTACTGGATAGCCTGGATATCCAGGGAACCCCGATTGCTGCTGATATGGGTATGACATTCTGCAGGACAAAGAAGAAGAAAGAAAAAAACTGTTTGTACATGGAAAAATAAAAATCAACACGCTCCAACTTTTATTGCCATAAACCACAGAATTCACTTAACGACCGCAATACACACATCACTCAACATTCCTATCTGGGTATTTTATGTGAACACACACACACACCTCAAATTAAATATTTCAAATATACAGTAAGGGTGCATTTACACCAAATTTAGAACGAACTAGCCAATGGAGGGTCCTTCCAATCCGTTGCATTCGGATGCTTTTTTTTTTGCCAAGCTTTATGTGAAGTAACATGTCATTTTTTATGCATTGCGTTGGAAAAAAAAAAGAGGAAAGAAGGGAGCATGTTTTTTTTTCCAGCGCAACATACGACAATGCAACGCTGCTATGTAAACTGTCCCCATTTACACCAATTCATTTTTTTCTTGCCCTTGCATTACCATCTGCTAAAAAAAATGGATGGCAGCGGCAATAAATTCGGTGTGAATGGGGCCTTAAGGGCTTGTTCACACGATGTCTGGATTCTGTCCAGACCAGAACGGTTAGCTCCTGCACTAAAAACGCATCACAATGTATCCCTATGTGTTTTCTGGGCTCCAGTTCACACCAGCGCAGTGCTTTCCGTTCCGGGACAGAAAAAAAATACTGCATGTCACATTTTTTCTGGTCCGGAACGCGCAGAAACGCGTCAAAACTGCAATGAAAACGAAAAATGCTTTGTTTATCACCAAAGAAACCCAATGCAGCAAACAAAAAGGCAGTAGAGAAAATCCCTTTTACCTAAAAAAATATTTAGAGATGTCTGGCAATAGCAGCAAGCCAATTCAATGAGTAGGGAACGCGATTCCTGAGGGTGTTTGTTGCTCCCCCGGTGATGCCATGTCAGAAATGTAAGGAAACCATTTTAGTTTTTGAGTAGTTTAAAAAAGAAAAAAAATGGATCACAGCCGGCTGCAAACAATCATGACCCATGTCATTGTAACATTAAATGACAACATGCTTGTGAAGCAATTCTATACGTGAAGAGTTTTTCCTTTAGGGTCTGTTCACATGATTTTTTTAAGTCCTGATCAGGTGCGGATCTGCAGACGCGCTACTATGTGTTTTTGCCGCGTTTTGATGCATTCCAGTTTTTAAAATTTTTTTTTTTTTGCTGGAGTGGGGCTGTCAGTATGTTAGCAGTGCAGTGTGTCTAACGCATTTTGCATTTACGGACCGTTTCCTGACCGGACAAAATGTGACATGCAGTATTTTTTCTGTCGTAACCTGAACGGACTGCGCACGTGAGAACTGTAGCCCATAAAACACATAGGGATACATTGGGATGCATTTTTAGTGCAGGAGCGTACGGATCAGGTCAGCACCGAAAACGGACGTCGTGTGAAGTGCTGCAAAACATGGTAGAATCTGTAAGATGTCCATCCCACACAGTCTGCCATTCATACTCCTGTGGAGACTTGTCCTTTTGCCAAACAATGCAACATTTTTCTGTCTCGCTCTTCAGACAGCTCCGTTTCATTACATTAATGGAGGAATAATAAATACCTCTCTCCAGGTTAAGAACACAAGGTCTCATTTCTACAAGCACTCTAATACGAGCATACTTAACGTAGAACACACGGCTCCTAACCGTAAAGCATACTGCAGAACACACGGCTCCGACCCGTAAAGCATACTGCAGAACACACGGCTCCGACCCGTAAAGCATACTGCAGAACACACGGCTCCGACCCATAAAGCATACTGCAGAACACACGGCTCCGACCTGTAAAGCTTACTGCAGAACACACGGCTCCTAACCGTAAAGCATACTGCAGAACACACGGCTCCGACCCATAAAGCATACTGCAGAACACACTGCTCCGACCCATAAAGCATACTGCAGAACACACGGCTCTGACCCATAAAGCATACTGCAGAACACACGGCCCCCGACCCATAAGAAACACACGACTCTGACCAGAGACTTTCTCAACAGCTTTCTTGAGCAAGTCTTGATGACGAAACATGTTGAGTGGGGGGGTACACGATGTCATTACACCAGACACCGCGCCGGCACCAGCCTCTATGAACATTCACTTTCCTGAGCGGCCTTATCCGGAGGGGGAACAAAGGGACTGGTGGGAGAAGGGAAACGGGGCTACTGCTGTGTCTCTGGCAGGAGAGACTTGTTATGTTGTAAGTTCTTAGGACCGTTTTTCATAAAAATTTGTATGGGGATTTTAGAATATGCAAAGTTCTGTAGATTCCCGAATACTGAATACCTTTGGAGGAGAGGAGAAGAACTAGTTGTGCCTTATAAATGAGGGCGTCTCAGAAGTGCTATTTGACCCTTATATAAACTATGGTCCATCTACTATGGTGAGTGGAAAGAGTGCACAGAAGAGCTCGGAGACTGCAGCTTGATCAAGATTCCTTGCACAGCAAGCACAGTGGGGGGAATTTATAAAAATCTGGAGCAGTTTCCCATGGCAACCAATCAGCTTCTCTCTTTAGTTTGTTCAGTTAAGATTTGAAAATGAAAGAGAAGCTGATTGGTTGCCATGCACAGCTGCTCCAGATTTTGATAAATCCCCCTCAGTGTGTTTTGAGGTTATGTGAAGCACTTTTTGGACTGTTTGCACTATTGGGATGCACTTGATGGTTGAAGATTTGTGAATTAAGTGGACATTTTGGATGTGTTTTGGGAATAGATTGGACACGGTGGCTGTTATACACTTTATTGTATGCGTTTATTTTTGATACACAGCTTTTATATATTTTTGGAATATTTTACAAAAAGCGCAATGTTTTAAGATATTGGTACTGTATGGTGATTTAAAAAGGATAACTATGAGGCGAGTGAAAATCACTTATTCTCATAGTACGAGCCGACGCGTGACAATGAAACTGTCACGCGTCGGCTCAATAGATCAGGAAGTGAGGGTACACATATCGTCAATCGGTCACTTCTCGATCATCTCCCTGCAGAGAGCGGTGACTGTCAGTCATCCCTCCCCACAGGGATCCCCCCCTCCACGATCCTCCAGCTCGGACTTGAGGAACGGATGGGGAGGCCACAGCTGGCTCTGCCTCTAGATAGGCAGAGCCAGCTGTCACTAACGCAGCTGGGTGGATCTCGACAGCATTGTCGGGATCCGTCCCAGCTGCGGCGCTCTCAGTATACCGCAAGCTGTAGCTTACAATATACTGGGCTTTGGATCACGGGAGGACGCTAGTAGATGTCCTCCCGTGACCCTTAAGAGAACTATGGGGAAAAATACTTACCCCATAGTTCTCTTTTAATGCATTATCGCACTTGCGGCTTATTGGAGCGGATAGGGCTAGGAGAGCAGATTTATTGAATAAGAACTCTTGGATAAGCCAGCCCCCTCAGTATAAACGTGTGAGGTTACAGCAACCATATTGACCATGTGCTTTATCTGACCGAGAAAGCATAGGAAGTGCTGCTTACACACTTCCTAGGGATACATTGGTATACACTGAGTGGCCAGATTATTATGACCACCCCATCAGTACTTCGTTGGGGCGCCTCGTGACTCCACGAGATGTTGAAAGGTGATGCGAGGAATCTGACACTGCAATGTTGCCCTTCTGTTGTCTTGTACCAGTCTTGCCACTCTCCATTCTGCCCTAACATTGACTAGTCGCTGACGGCCACAATTCGCACGTTCAGACCCAGATTTTCGGCTCACAGTCCAGTCTTTAACCAGTTGACATCCGCGGTGTTAAACCCCCTTCCCATCCAGGCCATTTTTCAGTATTCAGCGCTGCGGTACTTTCACTGACATTTATTCCGTCATGCAGCGCTGTACTGAAATGAATTTTATACCCTTTTTTGGGGACAGATATAGCTTTATTCACCACTGGGGTTTTTATTTGTTTACTATATTAAAAAAGGAAAAATTACCGAAATTTAAATTCCCTATTTATAATGGTCTGGCCCTTTAGCAACTTCAGCGCGAAATTATAGCCAATTAGCCTACAAACATCAGGTGGTCATGATAATCTGGCCACTCAGTGTAGAGCTTATAGGAACCTGCAGGTCTAGTAAAGTACATGTAAACCCTTACTGAATGGCATGTAGTTAGCTATGCAACCTAAAATATGGAAAGGAGAAGAGGAGTTTTACCAGTTAGTATGACATTCACTGCAAGTAATCTTCATGGATGTGTTTTAAATGACAGTGATTGTTCTGGTGACGTCTACTACTACTTTATAAATCTGCCCCTTAGTATACCCAACAGCATTTTGCTATGCAAGCCTACATTTAAAACACACACCTAGACTTGGCACCAGACCTGGTGATTAAGCAAGTCTCCTCCTCACACTCATCTACCTCCCGTTTTCTCACCCCGCCCTCTCGCTTTGTTCATTTGTACATGTAATACATCTTTGCACTTGCCATCTAATAGTTGCCATTCTCTGCCAACCTCCGGGGCCCTGCTTCCTAGTTACTGAAAGACTTTGCCACCTGCTGACACATTGTTACCACTGACCCAAGTAGTATATTGTTCCCTAAAACTCCTCACCATTACCACTTCATTTTTTTTTTTTAAATGTAAATATTTTTTTTTTTTTTATCTTTACGGTCAGTGAATTTGGGGAAATATTGGGGGTCTAAAACAGACACCTGATATTTCCCTTTTAAAATAGAAAAGAGTCCTCAATCTCTTTTTCTGCAGCCCCTGTTATGAATGAACATGAGTCCTCTACACCGAGTGTTCCTGTCCATTCATAACTTGTGGAGATAGTATGTTTACCATGTCCACAATCATGAAGGAACAGGAAGTGATGTAGAGCACTTCCTGTAAATTCATAATTGGGGACATAGTAAACATACTATGTCCTCAATTATTTACAAGCAATCAGCTGATCACTGACTGCTGTCACAGGAGGTTGAGCCGGCGGTGTGGGAGGAAGTCTCCTTTGACAGCCAACTCCTTCCCCGTACCGCTGGCTTGGCCTCTGTTGACAGCTCACAGCCATCTC